TCCATTCCAGGTTGGATGAGCCTTGAGCAACCTGCTCTGCTGGGAGGTGTCCCTGCCCAGGGCAGGGGTTGGGGCTGGGTGGTCTCTGAAGTCCATTCCAACCCCTCACTGCATTACAATACTATGACCAGAGAAGGTGGCTGGGGGGAGAAAGGTCAGAAAACACCCAAACAACTCCAATTAGGGCAGACAATGTGGTGTTCATGGCTGTTCTCTCCTTTGCTGCTGGTCTAGGGAATGTTGTTTTTTTCCTTCCTGGCTCTTTGTGCTCTGCATTACAGTTTCAGCTCATTGTGGCCATGCAGTCCTTGAGAAGAGGCTCAGAATTGTCTCTGCTGGACCATTCTTGGTCCAGCTCCAGCTGGAGCAGTTGATCAGGACACGAGGCGTAGGAGGAGCACTGCAGCTGCACCGAGAGATAACCTGGGACTCAGAGCACTTTCAAGCAGAAAACTGAGCTCACATTTTCATCTTATTTACACCAGCAGGAGTGCAGATCACTGCCACCACCCTCCCTGGGGCCATGGCAGCAAAGTGAGGGCAGCAAACCACCAGACGGTGGGAACAGGGCAGCAGAGAGAACCTCACTCACCAATGATAGCTGAAGGACGAAGAACATTCACTGCCTCTTCAAATGACTTTGGTATCTTCTCTGGAGCCTGATGTGCAAAGGGTTCCTGATTGGAGTCCACTTTCTGTTCTCTGCCCTGCAGAACAAACATGGATTCATTCTGTCTGCGAGGAGAGCACTGGCCACCTGTGCTGTGTCTCTCCCAGGGGAGGTGCAGCCCTACCTGGACCAGCAAACCGTGTTTGTCAAACATCCATATCCTCCCATAGGCCTCCTCAGCAGAAACTCCATTCTCCATCATAGCCATGACAATCAGGTTTGCAATTCCCAGCGCGGCCTTGGGGAGAAAAGGAGTTTGGGTTTTAACACAGGAGAGATCTGCCTTCACAAAAAAACAAACCCCTGCAGGAAGTCAGCTCTGGGAAATGTTTGCCTGGGTGGGGGCAGGTTCCTGGGACAACACTGTGCCATCCTGAAGCAGATAGAGAGGGGCAGCTCTGTGCTGTGA